CAAAATCCCTCCTCATTCGCGGAGGAGCTGCCGAGGCCGCTTTTACTGCGGCAATATGCCAAGGTAAACGGTCACCTAATGTTTCCATAACTCGTATGACCGAGCTTAAATCGTAAACCAGGCCGATTACCCGGCAGTCGTTCGCGCGGAGATCGTGACGACTACTACCCCCCCGCGCCGGGAGCTTTTGCGTGTAATGCACTCCAGGGGATGCCGAGTGCACTCGGCTCTTCTACTTCGACGTCTCGTTCTTCAGGGTCGCGTCGATGTCCCCGGCTCGTGGAGAAATGTGCCCGGGCTCGTTTGCTCGGGCACCAAATTTTTAGACCCTCGGTATGTACCAAAAGTACCGAGAATATCGACCATCGTAATCGTTAAGGTGATATGAAACGGTTATTCTATATATACGTCAAATTCTATATTCTATATAAAACTTGAAAATATTTACATAATTTTTTCTCCAAACTGGGTGCACCGAATCATTTTGCAACTTCATGTTGATTGTGAATTATTGCGTGGTTATGAAAGCTCTAAAGAAGAACGCGATGCTCGTGAAATTTCATTTTGCAAAGAGAACAAATTATTATTTTCATTTGCCTGAACCAAGATCACATTTTTTGGGGGAAAAATGAAATTTCACGAGTATCGCGCTTCTTCCTTAGGCCTTCATTATCACATGCTGATGTTTACAATCATTCGGTGCACCCAATTTGGAGAACGGTTTTGTTAATATTTTCACCCTTTATATATATAGAATGACTTTCATATCATCTTAAGGTGATGCGAAATTGACGTCTGAGGTGTCTTACATATGAAACTTTTCTTTAAACCAAGGATACGAGAGCCGTTCGAAATTTTACACGTGAATATTAACTGCCCAAAGAAGGTCTCGACACCCGTGAAATTTCATATTTTTCATTTTGAAATGAATCTTTCATAGGGCTTCCGTAATTAAGTGATGAAATTTCAAAGAATTCGGTATGCCTAGTTAAACACTTCGTACATCGCTTTACGCTGGAACAATGGAGGATGGATCGGGGGCGAGATGCAAAGCGTATCTCGGGAAGGAAGAACGAAATAAAAGTAGGAGATAAAAGTTCCGGTATAAATACGTATGAATTACGCATACGTAGTATTTTGAAAATTCCCGCGGAATCTAAACATCCCTAGGCTCCCGCAGGTGTTTCGGAAAGTGTGATGCATCTCGGCCGACCCGGAAGACGTATAGGGGGATGCAAGTTCCGTAGGTGGCTTAAGGGGATGCGTCGTAAATTCGGAAAAAGGCCACGTAGCGGAATGAAAAATAATACCATCCCCTAAAACAAATTGTGAGGATTTCCGAGAAATATTGACCAATTGACCGTAGCAATTTCCAAGCACCCCGACAAATCATTCCGAAAGATTCGAAGTCACCCCTAAATTCGACCGATTCGAGGTCGCCCTACCCCCTTAATCGATGCGCAACTTCATTTCAGGGAACGTGGGGGAAAAAGTGGCGGAGAGGTAACAAAAAACAGGTCGAAAAGACCGGGGGATTGTTTGCTAGGGGAAAACAGTGCGCGAGTTTCGCGACACCGCCGGGCTTAGGGGGTGGTTTCGGGTGCATCCCTTGCAGAGCTCGCCTGCCGATGAATTACGAGGGGCTGTCTGCATCACGCGCAATCACACGCACAACTTTCCAAAGACGTACGGTTACACGCGCCCCGTGAATGCTGGGCCATGGTGCACCCCGGTTGCACCCCCGTTGCACCCCCGATGCGGCTGGGGTGCATTCAGCGCGCACGCACGGTCATTCGGGGGTGCCTTTGCCAAACGACGGTGTCGAACACGTCGTCACGGGGGTGGATGCACCAAGCAACCCCCTCGGACAGGGGGGATGCATAATTGGGGTGTTGCGGAGTACAAAAGGCTCGACAGCGATCCGCAGATAAATTACGAGCTTCCTTTTGTGGGGACTCGAAGTAGACGTCGTAACTCGAAAACAGGGGTTGAGGCACCCCAGAAATAAAAAGCTCGCAATGATAATCCAAGAATAATATAGAAAAATGTGCAAAATTGAAATCTTCATACATCACCGCCCTTAGATTAATTCATTCGCTTTGTGTATTATTTCTCTACCCTGGAGGGGGGTAGGGGGCGACGGGAATTTCGGCGAGGTTTTTCAATCGACTTTCCTCCGCTCGAGGAAGCCGGGAAAAGGGGGCATCGTGAAAGCGCGTTAATGAAAAGTTTAGTGCAGGGAAACGGGGGTAGGTGCAACCCCTTCGCGCAGGGGTGCGTTCTCGCCGGCTCGTCGCTTCCGGGCGCGGAGTTCCGGCGCAGAGCGCGATACTAATTACATTTAGTACCCTTTATTCTTGGGCAAAAAGTACTCCAGGGGTAGAGGGGGGTGGAGGGCTCTGTTTGAATACATCGGGTCCCCTGGGAGGGAAGAAACTTGGCCGGTTTCTCGGAGCGTCAATTAAGGTGGACGCTAAGTCCTCCTCTGCTTCCTATAGATTCAAATCCCATGACTTTAGTTAAGTTTCCACTTTCTGGAGTTTTAATGTCTTGGCAACCCCTAGCCACCCCTTCGAACCGCGACAAAGGGCACCACGACGCAGGGGAAAATATGAACGCATATTGTTATAAAATATTAATTGTTAAATCCAGTGCAAGGGATTTCGGCGGACCCTTAGTTAGGGGGTGGGAAATGATTACAGGAAATGTCGGCATTTTGTTCCCGTCTTATTCACACCCCAGGCCAGGGTTCAAGGATCACCCCCGGGCGTCCCCCGAGCCCCATCCCGAATTCGACTTCCCGTAACGACAGCGGCTCCTGGAAGGATGGAATCGCCGGCAGGAAATTTATCTCTCCCTTCCCTGCATCCCCCATCAAGCCGGAAACAGTTTCGACCTATCGTTACAGGATACTCTCAATTTCGTGATAGTGCACCTAGGGCTTTTACTACCGGCGGGCCCTTTTACAGTCGGCCGACAATTCCGCGGTTGCGGCCGCGAGATTCCGCACGTGCGATCTCATCGACGTCAGGGGCTGTTCCATCGGAAATAAGGGTTGATCCCCAGGGCGGCTTTTAACGACTTGCCCAAATTCCAGAATATCCTCCAATCGTGGATTTCTCCTAAAAATCGTGAGGCATGTACATTTATAAAAATGGCAAACCCTTTAATCTCCGCCGACAAGGGTGGAGGTGGAGGCGCATTTCTTCGCAAGGGTGCATATCTGGGCGGGGAGGATCTACCTTTCCGAAAGAGTGGTTTCCAGGAGATTATCGATTCGGAAGTTACGCCGATTCGCAAAAGGGGTATCATCCTTTTATCGGGCCGTTTTGTTGCCCATGGTGGATCTCCATGCGGGGGTGAAAATATTATCCCACAGGGTTCTCCACCCCCTCGGAGAGGGTAGTCGCGTTCCCACGTTTACGGTGAAGAAACGCCCGTAATGCCGCTTCGAGCCGGGATTCTCCCTGAATCAAATCGGAACTCCTCTTGTTCCCGGGAAGATCTAACGTTGAAAGGGGAGAGAAATCCCAGACCGTTCCAGGGCTTCAAGGGGATTATCGTCTTCGCGGGGGAAGTTATGTCGATTAAAACCGAGAGCCTTTTAATATTCGCCTTCCCCTCCGATAGAATGGCCAGTTTCCCGGGAACCATGCCGATACAAGGAAGAATCTCAAAGAAGTATTAACAAATTTTCAACCCCAACCCCTGAAAATTCTCCCCCTAAAATGTAACATGTACATGTTCCTCTTTGTTTACTGAAAGAAAAGGTGTGTATATAATTTATGGATTTTTCGGAAAAAGATTTATGTAAGGGGGGTAGGAGATTTATTCACGTAAGGGTGGTATAGGAGGAGTCCATTTGGAGGGTTGTACAAAAAAAAATAAAAATAGGAAAACAGGTCGGTAGGCCCCTACGGAATCTCGGGTATCGATTAAACCCTCGACAGACGACTGGGGAGGACATCCACGAGGAAATGGCGGAATCCGTCGGAAGGTCCTCGTGAATCGCCTTCCGGGATTTGCAGCCCTTAATTACCTCGGAGATATCGGAGAGACCTCTTAAAAGTGTGTTGTACTGACAGAGAAAATTGGAGCGTGTCTTGAAAAAAAAAGGATTCTCGACCGAGCCTTTTCCCAAGGGTGGAACTTCCTCCGGGAGGGGTAGTTAACCCCCCTGGGACCGCCACCCGTGAAAAGTCCTTCGAATCCAAATTTCATCCCGGCGGGCTGAAAACTTCCGGGGAATAAGCAGAGACCCCCGACCTCCCCCGCTCGAACTTCCCGGCTAGTTTACTCCGAAAATTCTTGTTTCCGCCCCCGATCGCTTCCGGGGCGCGCAACTTAACAAATAATGCAACTTTTCAACTCCGAATTTCCCGAGGCGTGTCAAAGTTCCGGCTAAACGGCTCATTTTACCCAATAACGAGCCCTTATCGTTCCCCTAGACTATCGTCTATCTCCGGCTTTCCTAACCTACCGTAAACCTGACCTAAGCTAACTTACTCGCAGCCTAAATTAGCCTAACCTAACCTAACCTAACCTAACCTAAACTAAGTCGAGACGTCCCGGAAAAACAAAGTGCCAATAACTCCCGGCAAATTGTTAAGAGAGCGCCGACGATGGGCGCAAGAAACGCGTCAAAGGGCGGCGCGGGTAAAACGCCGCGGTTCCTCCGCGAGCCGCGCCCCAGGGGGCGGCGTCGGCGTCGCTTTGCGTTTCTTGCACACCCCCTCCGGAAGCATCAGGGTGCGTAACGACCTGTTCTTCCCGTCTCTTATATTATTTATGGTTCCTCCCGTCGAGGGCTCTAATTCCGACCGCAAACGTTTTCCGCGGCTTTGATGGGGCGTGAAAACGGATTTATAAGTAATAGGTACTCCGCCGTATTCTAAAACTAAGTGCACATCATTTCGGGGAGTAATTAGGCTAACATCCCCCTTCACATATTAATCCCCTAATTCATTAATTAATCACATCTATTTGCTCTCGTGTCGCAGGACTCCTGAGACTGCAGCAGATATATCAGAGCTTGCGGCCAGGAAACGAGTCCTTCCAGGTGGAGACGGTGAAGAGGATACAGAACATGTCGGAGGCAATCGACTTCCTAAAAAGCCTGGAGGACCTCAATCGGTAAATATCCCCTAGACCCATCATACTAATTTCCCGATAAATCATAAGAAGCAACCTGTAACCCCGATCTACGAAAACCGCATCCTGGGAGAGAGTCCTTCTGGAGAAAAATCAGATCCTGGGACCCGATCCTCGAGTTCATCCGATCAACTTGCGCATGCGCAATTGGCAGTTTCGTGTGAATTTATTCCTATGGGGAAAAGCTCCATATTAACTCAGAACAAGAGCTCTAGGTGTGACGATTCCTGCGGAAAATCGGGAATTTTCAGGGTTTCCGGGATTTCAGAAGGAAAGGGACCTCGACGAGCTGCTTCCAGGTCCAGCGATGAGCAGCGATTCTGCTTGCACCAACACTCCAGCCTTGGGTTTACGTTGCACGGAGAAAAGCTCCATATTATCTCAAGAAAAAGAACTCTAGGTGTGACGATTCCTGCGGAAAATCGGGAATTTTCAGGGTTTCCGGGATTTCAGAAGGAAAGGGACCTCGACGAGCTGCATCCAGGTCCAGCGATGAGCAGCGATTCTGCTTACACCAACGCTCCAGCCTTGGGTTTACGTTGCACTTGGAGGTGCAACGACATCAGTCATGAGCCGCGGTGCAATTTCTGGAATGGCCGCGCGGAGTTGCACCGGCTAATCACATACATCTCCCTGTCAGGGGGCGCCAGTAGTTTACTACAGTTTAGAACAGAGCGGGCTCCGGGGACGCAGGGGGATCCCTTTCCTAGATTGCCGTGGTTCATGGTGGAAGGTGCCGGGGAGTCCCATTCACCGCAAGAATCCAAGGGGACAAGTTTCTTGCGGCTTGCGCCCTCGCAAGACCCAATGGGAGTTTAACCGATCCCGACTCTGCGATCTCCGATACGCCGTTCGACGTTACGTGAGAACGCCTAACCGGAGTTTGACGCCTCGATTAATATTTCGGTTAACTGCGACCCGAATCCGCAGTTCCCGCTCGAGACGGTCCAAGAACCACCCCCCAGGCGCTAAACCCAGACCCCGTAACGGGAGAATTCTAACCTCAAATGGAAACGACAACCGATTGGATAACTTTCTCTATAAATTCCTGAAAAACGATGCCGATCCACCCGCTCGGATCGCCCGGGACGACGTCAGAGACCGCGCGGGCTGCCTATGAATTTCCCATATTTCGCAGCCTTTTCCGGAATAACTCGGGAACGGGTGCGGATATTCGCTTCCGGTTTTCGGCGTTTTGCAGGTCTCGGGGGCGCGCGTCGAACGCGATTAGCGCGGGTCCCGGCCGCGCTTTGGATCCAGTTAGCATTGTTATCCCGCGGGAGCGCTGGCGCGGCCCGGCCGCGCGGACGGCGTAATGGCTGACGTAGCGAATCTCGGAAATGTACTTGCCCGGCCCGGATATCGACAGAACCCCGACGTATAATGCCCGGCGCAAAGTATGCATTGGCAAATTTATGGTTGGCGCGATGCTATTAGAGCGCGATGCCCCGGCATCGGATGCCGGATAATGGACAATGAGTCGCGGCATTTCGGTTCGAGAGGTTAGGTTAGGTTGGCCCTTATACGCGGGCCGGACTTCGATAATGACGCCTGCTCGTGGGCGGAAGCAATGGCGGTATGGGCGGCATGGTCGCGATGGGCGAAGCTCTGATTATGCCGCGTGCCTGTAAACCAGCTGCGACCGACGCCGATTAAAGGACAGTCCGTTTAATTTCCGTTATCGTCTTCGTCAGAAAAGTTTCATAAATGAGACCTCTTTGGTGTCACTTTGATATATACATACCAAAAAATCAGAATATATGTTTTTTTTANATATGTATATATGATACTTTCATATCACCTTAAGAACTTCATTGAATTAATTCAAAGAAATTGGTTCTCTAAGAAGTAGCGTTTGCAGGTTTCTTGCATTTCTTCAGACTCGATTGTCTTGAAAATGATCGATGATTAGCGACCGCCGAAAATTCAGAAATTCAGGAGGAATGCTTCTTCAACTTCCAGGTGGACGAACAAATACGTCGTCCTGGACTGCCCGACGGACATGGCGAAGGACATCGTCGTGAGCCACGTCAGGGACGTGGCACTAGGCAAAAGGACGTACCACTACCTCCTCAGCGGACTGGTGAGTGACCGGGTACTGTCCTAATTCAATCTAACCTAATCTAAATTACCATTAATCGCAATCAACCCCGAAATCGATCGGAAAAGAATCCTCAAACATTCGTGAAAAATCGGAAAATCTTTCTTCCGGATAGATTTTTCGCTTTTAGGCAGTATTAGCCGGTTAGTAGTAGGGAATGAGGGCGACGGTGGTGGCTAATTGCAGCGTCTACTCATTCAATTACCGCCTAGGTGAAATTACACTTGGCCGCAAGACTCGAGGGCGTCTACGGCGGCTCTTTCCCCGAAACACATCCTGCCGGATCATCCAAACTAATTCCATTCGATCCGCGTTCCGCTTAATTGTATGCCAGGGATTCCGGGTGAGGCTAATTCGCGTCACTTAGGATTAAATTAATCGCCGGGAGCATCCCTTACCCCGCCGGCGATCCGTGTCGGGCTCGATGACGGTCGACGAGGTTACCGTCGACGATATTTGCACTACAGTAGCAGGGGGTGCCCATCATGACCGGGCAGAGGGTGGCCCGATCGCATGCATTATGCGTGGTTGAAATCGTCCACCCCCACCGCCGTGTCAGTTGCACATGCAACTGCCTCGATGCAAATCGCTGCAGCGCGCGGGCCGACAAATGGCGGGCGAAATATTCTTCCTGCATTTAAAAAAAAAAGAGGGAAAAAACAATTTGGGATAAGGGCGCGATTGTCCCTTTTCCGGTCTTTCGGTAAAACTCGAGCTTCCGAGGGAACTCCTCGCTGCAGCTGCAACTGCACCCGGGGTGGGCCGATCGCGCGTATTATACGGTTCCCTGGCTCAAATCGTCGACCCCTTCCGCCGCCTCTACACGCTATTCATGAACGTCAGTTGCACCTGCAAGTATGCAACCAGATGCGATCATTTCGCAACGCTGGGACCGACAAATCTCGCGTTTACCTCTGTTTCCCCCAATTTATCTCAAAAATACAGAGTCCTGAAAGGGGCACCCCGACCGCGGCCCCCCGATGCGGCGCTCGTTACGTTTTCATTTTCTGCAACATCCACGCGTGCCAGGGCAAAGTGCCTCGAACAAAAGTCGCGGGAAATGGTCCAGGGAACAACTTTTGTGGGGAGCATTTTCTCGCAATTCCGCATCCTTGACCCCAAAAGTCGAGTTCCTCCCCGCCGCCACGTCCTTCCTCCTCCGTTGATTGCACCCTAATTAATTGACTTTTGGCCATTCATCTCAGGGACCGAATGCTGCGAATCGGAGTTTGGGATGCTTTGACGCGTGTATTTGATTTAAAAATCATCTGACAAGATCAACGGTCGCCTTTTGAGGCTCGATCGAGGGGAGGCCCTCTGCGGGGGTTAATGTTGACAGATCGGTCAGGCAGCGCGAGGCAATTTAAGGAAATTAAATCCGCCGTGGGCGAAGCTCGCGTGTCCGTTTCTTTTTGCGAGGGGCACGAGTAACACGGCACCCCCGGGGGGGCGAAGGGAAATATTTATTTTTCCAATAGAGTCCGCTCCTGAACCCAGATCGCAGCTCGACGGGCCGCCACGAGTCGACTATCCTTCTCTTTCCCTCCCTTTCCGAATCTCTTCCTCTCGCACCCATTCCACCCTGCACCCCCTCGCAGCCTTCAAACGATGTTTCATCATTCTCGCGTGCACCCCCTCCTCGCCGCATTCGTTCGAACCACTTTTACCCTCCTATACATCACCCCCGGTTTCCCTCCTCTCTATTAGCTTAAAACACTCCGCGGTCCCCGCGCGTCATCTTGAAATATCGCCCAGAAAGTAAAATCCCTCGGGAGAAAAGAGAAACACGGAAGACCCTTCAAATCTCCCGGAAAAAACCGCCCCTCGATAAGAAAAAAAAAAAAAGAAAAAAACATCAAACTGGTATCGGCATCACATATGTTCATAATCGTAATAAAAGCCAATATAAATTACTAGAAGGGAATAGTAATTTACTGTCGTTTCTCTTGGGGAATCTAAAACTGGCAAATCTGAGGTTAACATTGAAATGTAACTATCTATTTTTCTTTTGGAATTTATGGTAAGATTTCGGTTTCCTAGGGCGAGGGCTAACGGCTGCAGTGCAGGGGTGGTCCCTGAAGCTCGCGAGTTCCATTTCTTTCTCTGATTAACGCGCGGCCTCTGACCCCCTCGATTGGGCCCTGGGCCCCTCGGCATTCTCGATGAGGGCCAGCACTAACTCGGTTATTGCGATTCGATCGGCTAGCCGGTCGGTCGATCAGCCAACGAGCTCCTGTAATCGCGTTTCCCGCGGGGCGAGGCGCCAAGGTCGGGTGCTGATTACGCGGAATCGCGTTATCACGCGCCGGCGGTCCGGCAAGGCGGACGCCCTCTTTAACGCGCGCACGACGCCCCGCGCCGTAACCGGTCCTCGTAAACGCGCTTAAACTGCGCACTTTACGAGAAGATGCGCCGCGACGCCGGCCGATCGCGCTATCGATAAACCCGGAAGTGGACCGATCGCTCGATTGGCTCGTAACAACCCCCTTTCCGGCGGTTTATCCCGCAGAAATGAATACCTAACGAAACGGCGATCGCACCGGCGAGGTACGACGCGCCTCCTAACCTAGAACCACGCAATATCCCCTAGATAGGTTCCCAGCGTGGAAAAAAAATATGAAAAAAATTAATATTGTAAAGAATCATGAGACGCGGTGAATCTCTCCCTAACTTGGAACCTGGAAATCCTCCAAAGAAATTCCCAACGTAACCAGGAAATCCAAAGAATCGAGAAGAACCACCGGGGTGCGAGGAGCCTAACCTAGAACCTCGTAAACTCCCTAGATAGATTCCCAGCGCCCCAAGAAAATGTAAAAGGGGATGTATTCATAACCAAGGGGTGCGGGGAGTCCGTACTTGCCCTAGAACTTGGAGGAAATTCTCATGAAAAATTCTCAGCGTAAAGGAAGAATTTGGAAATATCTGAAAGTATCTCTGATAGGAAATCCGTTAATCGGTGGAATGACCGTGGGGTGGGTTTAAGCGTTTTTCTTTTTTTTTTTTCTTTTTCTTTCATTTTGGGGTAGGGGATTTGGGAAGGAAGTCCTGTCGTGGGTAGACCTCCGATGGGGGTGGTCGACCTGGGTGGCGGGGATAAAAGCACCCTTTATGTCGCTTCCTTCCGGTCCATCCTCCCTTACCGTAATGGCCGGCGAGGACGTCTCGATGCCTGGCAAAGTGCAGAGTAGCTAAAAGGCGTTCCCGGCGTCTCCTTGCCGTGTAATCAGATAATGGACGACCGCTGGGAGAGCGAGGTGATCGAGTACGGTGCCATCAACATCACAGGGTTTCGCATTGTGGACGCCACTCGACGCCACGTCAAGGACTTCCTCGACGGCTGGCGTCGCCTCGACCCCGCGAAGTGGCAAGGCGCAGGTCGCGAATCCATTTCCGTACGTATATATTCTGCGAGCCCCAACCCCTTCGCAGCTGCGGACTTTTTCCCATAATTTTTTTTCGAGGCTGATCGAAGGAACTCCCCTGTAACAAGGACACCGAGTTCAGGAGTTCAGCTCGCCCCCGAGAGTCACGCCGGAGGAGAGTCCTCGAATAGTAAAAAAATCTTACAATTCTCCCCAGAAAGAAAAAAATGGAATTTTCATCGAACTCCATCGTACCCTCTTCCGGCGTGACCGGGGATGCACCACCTCCATAAATTTGGGAGCGACGGACATAACCTTTAATGGGAATCTTTGTTACCGTGGGGACTTCTACGTGCAACATTTCGAAATACATTTTTTTTTTTTCTAGCCGTACAGCTTTTGAATATCTTGCCGTGTATACCATTTCCGGGGTGTATAGATGATCTTGGAGGTTCCTCAATTTTGGAAAGAAATTCTGCCGAGGGGTTTTTCTCTTCAGTTTTCCGATTTTTAACAGGCTCAGGCGGCGCTCATGTACGACGCGGTCTTCGTCCTGGTGGAGGCGTTCAATAAGTACCTCAGGAAGAAGCCAGACCGCAGCAACGTGAGACGAACGGGAGTTCCCGGGGGGAACCAGCCAGGAAATGCATCTCGTACCCTGGACTGCAACACCAGCCAAGGATTGGTGACCCCCTGGGACCAGGGCGACAAAGTTCTGAAAATCCTGCGGAAGGTGATGCCCCTCTTCCGACGCCCTTCTTCCGTTTTTCACCCCTACCGTCGTTGTTTCCTCTTTGCCTCTCCAGTTTCTTTTTCAGCCAAAGGTCCCACGAAATTGCAGGGCTGCAACTGCATCCCGTTGCACCTCCCGTCTCTGCTGCTGACAGTAATTGGCATTTCTTCCCACTCGAACGCGGCCGTTCCACTTATCCCCGACAAGAAACAGAACTTCCGCGCCACTCTTTCCTTGGGGGTGATACTTCTTCCTTTGCAACCCCTTCTGCCAGATGAACGCGACCAATTGCTGTTTATTCAGCCCTCCACTTCCCCAAGATTGCACTTCGCGAAAGAGGATGGCTAATAATGATTCGCACAGCGGGACACCTACAAAAGTTGTGGATTCATACGTCGATTTTTAACTCTTTTCTTTTTTTTCCTTCCTCGCACTTTTCGAAAGGGTTGACAAATTGAGGGTCGCAGCCCCCCTGCGAAAGTGACTCTGCTCGTGACAGTAATTGCCACTTCCTTCGACTTCGCCACAGGAATAGGATTTTCCTTTTGTAGCCATGTAATAATTTCGTTCTATAAGTAGGATTACGGAGTACACATTTTTTAGGAATATATCTTACAGGGATGTAAATGACGCGATTGTCAATATTCATTTTTCGGGATATCAGGTGGAGATCGAAGGACTCACTGGGGAGATTCGCTTCAAGGATGATGGTCGACGACAGAATTACACTCTTCATGTCGTCGAGATGACGGTCAACAGTGCCATGGTGAAGGTAACTACTAAAAATGGTCGAAACAACGTTTACCATTATTCTTTTTTTATGGAAAAATTTCCTTAAAAAATAGCAGTCTTATTTTTGTTTCGACGGACTCCGGTTTATTATCCTGCGAGGCACAATTTCGGTTTCTAGCCGTATTTTGAGTTTGACTCCGATTGCATTAAACGTCTGCCTGTGTAAATATACACCGACAGTGGCACATCGTTTCCCGAAAAAAGGAGCATTCCAAACATTCCATTAAGCGCGTCGTAGTACCGCCAGAGAGTCCTGATATTACTCGAATATCTATTTTATTCCGCCATATCTCTACGACCGATCGCATTACGTCGAACGCCAATTTGTACTAGGAGGAATAATTGATGATCCTGTATGAAGCGGTCGGGAAAAGTGCAGGAGGATGAAGGAAAATAATTGACGATGACGGGTGCACCGGAAGGGAAGAAAAGACCGTCTCCCTCGAAACGGAAAATCCCCCAATTAATAGAAAAAAAAATGTTTGCAATTTTCCAAACTCACCGAAATTTTTGCCAATCGTCCCTAGTGACACCCCGGTACTAATTTCCACGCCGGAAATAATCATACTCGTGGGTTAGAATTTATTCCAATTAATTCGTCGCGCGAGGAAGGGGTGAAACAAATTGTACGGTTCGCGAAGTTTGGGCAAGATGGCCGCGGGATAAAGAATTAATCTCGTCAAGGGGGTGATTTCGCCGGAAGGGGCGGGTGTCGATTCGCCGATTTCCCGGGATTCGGAGCGAAACGTTAATTTCCCTTCCGGGTCGGAAAGTCGCTTTTGAAAATCCGCGGACCGTCGACTACTGTGCCCATCCGGCATGGGAGGCGGCCGTAAAACCGGCCGATTTTCGACGCCCCTGGCCTTTCGGCATCAACAATGAGGCATTGTATCGCCATACAACGGTCAGCTATTAACTTCTTCGCCGACCTCCGACCCCGGGTGCCCTGTCGTTGACAGTAATGCCGTCAACGGGGTCATCGCCGGCCCGATATGTGGATCGGTCGACTGGCTCGCATTTCCGGACGGCAAAATTAGCGACGCTTTCCATCGACCGCCGGCCCATTACTCCGGAGAGAACAACGAGATTGATTGACCCCGTCGATGATCCAGTCGAGAGTCATCGCCCCTTTATGAGGTCCCTTTAAATGCCCCTCATTTTCCGCGCCGCCAAAGACCCCTTCAGGGAGGCGCAGTCCCTGTTTCTATAAATACAATTTTGTTTAAAAATCCGGAAAATATTCCACCGACTTCCGGGCAGTGATGGACTCCTATTGGTACTTAATATAAATTTTTAACAATTTTCCAAGGTCGCAGAGTGGACCGACGAGGGTGGGTTCCAGGCAATAGCAGCGAAGTACGTGAGGCTGCGACCCCCTTCGGAGATAGAGAAGAACAGGACTTACGTGGTGACCACCATTGTTGTAAGTGGATTACCAGGGATTTTTGGTTGTGTCGAAGGGTAAGTTGTTAACAAGGGTTTTTACATATCAGGAGGAGCCGTACATCATGATGCGGAAGCCGGATGTCGGGGAAACGCTGACCGGGAACGACCGCTTCGAGGGGTACTGCAAGGATTTGGCGGAGCTGATCGCCAAGAAGCTGGGCATCAACTGTGAGAATGATTTTCGATTCCCGTGTTCCCGACTGCTCCCGTTTCTAGGTGTATGGTTATGTCCGCCGTTCCTGGCACGAATCCGTCAGGGAATCGGGGCCGCGATCTGTCGCGTGGATTCTGTTTTACGGCCGCGGCCGGGAAAAGGGCGACGACAGTTTCCCGGAATCAAACGGACGGCAGCCATTTTCGCCCGCTCTTCAAGGGGCGCGTAAATCGGGAATTATTCCTTCGGGGAATACATCCGGGACGTGTTCGAAACGGTCCCGCGGGAGGGGCCCGTCCTATCGACGGCGTTACGACTTCCAACATGGCGAATGCTGACCCCGTCCTTTCGCTCCCCATCGATGCCATGAAAATGCACCCTCAACGCGAAAACACCAAGATGCACTACATTTTTCCCATTTTTTGTTCTACGACAAAATTACAAAAGGAATATCGTTTAAATGAATTTTCACTTCCAACTTGGCGAATGCTGACCCCGTCCTTTCACTCCCCATCGATGCCATGAAATGCACCCTCAACGCGAAAACATACCAAGATGCACTACAATTTTCCCATTTTTTTGTTCTACTACGAAATTAAAAAAGGAATATCGTTTAAATGAATTTTCATTTCCAATTTGGCGAATGCTGACCCCGTCCGTTCGCTCCCCATCGATGCCATGAAAATGAACTTTCAACGCAAAGACGTACCAAAATGCACTACAATTTTCCCATTTCTTTCGTTCTACAGCAAAATGCATAAAGGAATGTCGTTTAAAGGAATTTTCACTTCCTCTTTCCAGACGAATTGCGGATCGTGCGAGACGGGAAGTACGGTACCGAAAACCCGGACGTTCCTGGCGGCTGGGACGGGATGGTCGGCGAACTCATTAGGAAGGTAAGCAAGTAATTCGAGTGCTTTGTGATGAAATCACCGCAACAGTGGCGCGCGCGTTCCTCTGCGAGGAAACGAAACGTAAATTAGAGTCGACGTCTGTAATTAACCCGCGGTTACGCGGCGAATTCCCCCAGGTTTTTATTGTACGTAACGAGGCTCGCCGATTCTCTCCGGCGATCCCCCGTAAACATCGACATACCTCGGAGTCGCGTTTTCGGAACAATGCGCCGCGGAATTGGCTTTCAGCCACCCTACACCTTTCATTAAATGCTAACCATCATCCCGAGAATGAAAAACCCCGAACCGAGGCGGAGGATGTTAAATGTTTCATACATTGAACAATTCAACTCGAGTGGAAAGGTCCTTATTGAAGCGGTTCTCCAAAATGGCGGAGAGCTCGCTTGACACCGACTTTCATTAATCCCTCGACCCGGAAACTCAAATTGAGTATTACGATCTTGAATACTCCCTACTAATCAGTTCTATCGAGTATTCGGCCAGAAAGTGGGGCTTTCGAAAATGGTTCTCCAAAATGGCGGCGTGCTCACCCGGTCACCTGCTCTTCGGGGGCATCCGGGATGCACTTCCGGGTCGCAGCGCACGGGGTCTCACGAGACTGCTCGTTACCACCGGGAGCCAACTTCCCGTGAAAAAAAGTGAACCCCTTTCATCATTGGCTCGCATTGAGGGGGCGGCAGTGTCAGGTCGTGAAGCTCAAAGAGCTTGCGACGCAACCGCGACTTAATGCACTTCGGCTCGGGTGCACCGTTCGTCAAGGAGAAGCACCCGTTAGCCACGTCTGGTCTTTGTGGCCTCGGCGAGGCCGAGTAAAAGAAGGAAGTTGCACGTGGAAGCTCAACCGAGGTTCTCGAGCTTCCCTCGAGCTTCCCTCGAAGGGGTCGATTATTGATCGTCCCCTCCGGGCGCGGGGTGAGGGCACCGGGGGGAGGCTGAAAAAAAGCTTTCTTACCCTGTGGTGAAGGGTTCCCCGAGCTCTCGCCAGAGGACCGGAGCTTGCAAGCTCCTGCCTGGAGCGCGGCGGCATCTCTCGGAGTTCCCTAGAACGAGGAAGCTCCGACTGGAGAGGATCGAAGAAAATTACTCCGTCGGCAAATGGGGGGAAGAGCTTTCGAAAAGCTCCGGGATTTAGGGAAAAAAGAGATCCTAAATCGCCCGCCGCGGGGCCCATTGCCAACCCTGGGGCCATTTTCTCCCTGCTAATCACCGTTCGGCCGGATTTTAAAACTCCACAGGGAATGCTAAGTAGCCTTTTCGGGATTGCTGGGGAGAGGAAGTGGGGAACTGCGTGGTCGATTCTTTTTCGGCCGATTTTTTCGACTCGCTTTCCTATTTTTCCCGTGAAAATGGCGTTTCCGCGGGTGACCCCAGCTGGTCCCCGGCCACCAGCTTGCGGCGGACAAGTCAATGGAGGCTTCTCCTCTCGGCACTTTTTCCCTGATTAAATTTTCATGGCGGCCCGCGCTCGAAAGGACCGGAAACTCCGGAGGCTTTTTCGGGAGAGTCCAATTCCCGAAATGGATGAAGGAAACTCGCACGGGGCGGAAGTGACGCGCGGAAAAATCGCGGGAAATATTGCCGATCGATCGGACCCTTTTTCCCCTGATGGGCACTCGACGAGTCTGCTCGCGGTTTTAATTCCTTGAGATGGTGAACGTGTTTCGAAAAAGATTCTTCTTCCTGTCTGGAATATTTTCCCCAAAACGTTGTACTTGACTTAATTTCAATAAATCATTTCAATTAATGGACTCGCCGATTTAAATAGGAATAAATTCGGAGGGAAATTGGAATTTTGTAGAAAGCTAGGGCAAGCTTTTCAGCCGCCTCCGGGGTGCTGCGGACCTTCCGCGGGTCGTCCGCAGCCGCAGCTGCGGACACCCTGCGGGAATCGAAGGCCCTGACGGGGCATCTTACAAACTCATTATATTCGGGCCGCGCTAATTATTTGAGAGCCCGCAAATTGGGACGGGCGAGGCCCTGCCGCAACGCGGAAACCGGATAGGACCGAGATGTGAGGTTAGGTGCGTCGCCGGGAGCTTAAAGGGCAAAAAGAGGGCCACCGTCCTCCGTGACGTCGACGGACCGACTAATGGGCTTTATGGGAAAGCTCGCGACGAGACCGCTCTTCCTCTCCCATTCTTATGAATATGCACAATTCCAGCCTGCCGCAGCTCGGAATCGAGCTTCTTTCAGCTTTGCCCGAGACTTTCCCGAGCTTTTCGCGACTTCCCAACCCCAAAGAGGGCCACGATACCCGATGAATTTCCGACCCAAACGGATATCAACTACTCCACCATTTGTTTTTCTAAATTCCGCCCCTCGCCCTCGACGTCGCTCTTCTCAATAGATCATTCCCGTTGCAGGATCTCCCATCCCGATTTTTTAATTAATTTTCAACCAGCTTTTCTCCCCGCCAGGAAGCCGACATCGCGATCGCTCCCATCACCATCACCTCGGAGCGCGAACGAGTGATTGACTTCAGCAAGCCCTTCATGTCCCTTGGGATCAGCATCATGATAAAGAAGCCGGTTAAACAGAAACCGGGAGTCTTCAGCTTCCTGAATCCTCTCAGCAAGGAGATCTGGGTGTGCGTCATCTTCTCCTACATCGGCGTCTCCATCGTCCTCTTCATCGTCTCCAGGTGGATATAAAAATTCGGAAAAAAAAAAGAAAATCCAGGAACATCGTCCAGATCGTGATCAATCGATCGATCTCCCATTTAAATTGCAGATTCTCGCCTTACGAGTGGAGGGTCCTGCAGATCAGTGGATCGGCGGATCCCTCCATGGGGAGCAGGGGGGATCCTGGGATGCAGCATCCCCATGGACCACAGGGATCCCCCCAGACCCCTCATTCCAGCATGGCGAACGATTTCAGCATCTTGAACAGTCTATGGTTCTCCTTGGGAGCTTTTATGCAACAGGGGTGTGACATCTCTCCTCGGTAGGTACTCGATACGCGGCAACAATTGCACATAGACGCATGTTGTAAATATCAGGCATTTCATTATCGCCGTTTTTAATTAACAGCCGCTTTAAGACCTCTCCCTAGAGTCTCGTTTCCGAAGTTTCGGATGATGCAAATATACTTTGGCGAGAGCAAAGGGGGCGGGGGGGATTATTGTCCTCCCTTTGCGAGGGACAGGGAAAAACGAATTACCGAGGCAAGCTCCATAATAGGATGAATTGGCCCGTGGCATGATAACGAGGGGGAGAGAGAGGGGACGACTCAAAGACGTCCCAGTATTTAAAATCCTCCCATTACGTCCTTGTTAAATCCGACTGCTTGCAATCCCAACAACTAACTTATTAACGGGACATTCCAATAAAGAGAAGTCTTAGGACGAAATAATTAAAAAGTCGAATCGAGGGACGAGAAATGGAACTCGGAAGGCGGTCCGTAGGTTCCATGGAAATGCCTCTTTTTATTTCCAATTTTCACGTTAATTAAGGATGATTAATTCGATTGAAAATCGGCCCCCGTGGTTCTACGGCTCGCAGAAAATCGGGAGGAAATAATTGGGTTTCCTCGAAGCCTATGATTCGAAAGTGTCGGTGCCTAGCCATGGAACCGTTCCAAAAAGCGCAGCAAACCTCAATTAATTTGCATTTAGGCGGCCTCGCGGGGGGGCGGCTTTTTGATTAATGGCTTAAATATTCCCGGCGAACGATATGAATTGTAAATTTACCCCCGAGCCGTCTTTCCGCCTTTACCGAAATGACCGCGAAGAAATGCGATGCAAATGCCCGTTATTAAATAGTGCCACATCGCGGCACCGTGATAAGCCGATGACTATTTTCTTTTTTTTTTTCCCCGCTTTTGCGGTACCGCGATAACAGCGATTTTCGCGAAATCACGAGGCAGGCCGATATGACGCGTGCCTTGTTCAATTGCAATCTACCTTTGTCATTTTTAATTATTCCACGAGTGACCTCTAGTCTCCCTGGGGATGTGACGTCGCGTCACTCGTCGATATTAATCGATCCGGAATTTAAATCGGTGCGATAAATCCACGACAATGGAGTGTCGATTTCCACGATAAGCCCATAATTCCGCGTAATATTTCACCGGAGTGATAAATGCCGCAATTTGTAGATAATCACGGGAAATCATATCTCATATCGCGTGGCCAGCGACGATACGTGTCCGGAGCTGCGATTTTTCTTGCGGAATTGTTTAATTATTAGATAAATTCCGAGCGATGGGCAGCAATCCTCGATCCTTTTTCCAGGTCGATTTCCGGTAGAATAGTCGGCAGCGTTTGGTGGTTCTTCACCCTGATTTTAATTTCCTCGTACACTGCCAATTTGGCAGCGTTCCTCACCGTCGAGCGAATGGTGACGCCGATCAACTCGCCGGAAGATTTGGCAGCGCAGACGGAAGTGCAGTACGGCACGCTATACCACGGATCGACGTGGGACTTCTTCAGGGTGAGTAAAAAAGGAGAGAAATAAATCACCCCCCCGAAACTTATCCTGAATAACTTTAAAATTCAAACCACCCCTCCAAGTACCCTATTAAAAAAAATATCATAATCTTGAAATACTTCTTGGAAGTTTCACTCAGACATGGTACACTAAGTACACAATATATCAGCAATAAATTTCTAAAACGTATCATAAGTTCAGTAGACAAGTCTATCGATTTTCCCATGAAATTTCATAAATTTGTTCGTTTATTCTCACATTCAGGACATTAAATTGATAACTCCACTACGACCCCTTGTGTTCTCGAAGCGGATTAATATTATGAATATTTTTAACAGCTTAATTAAACAATTTCCAGAGGTCGCAGATATCGCTTTACAGCAAAATGTGGGAATTCATGAACTCAAGGAAACACGTTTTCGTGCGCACCTACGACGAAGGCATCCGAAGGGTGAGGACGAGTAAAGGGAAGTACGCCCTGCTGATCGAGAGTCCAAAAAACGATTATATCAACGAAAGGGAACCATGTGACACCATGAGAGTGGGTTCGAATTTGGACTCGAAGGGCTTTGGGGTTGCCACCCCCCTGGGCTCGCCCCTGAGGTAAAACTCGCGATTCCTCTGCCGAGCTTGTTAATTCTCCCCGGGTTTTTGCCGTCATCAAACCCGGTCGTTCCACGGGATCCCCCTTTTCCACTTTTCTTTTTCCCTTCACCCCGAAGGATGTCGCTGCAAACCATTAACCTGCCGAGACATCGTGGTCGCTTCTTCCGGATCATTACCCCCTCCCCCAACCGCGGATGCTGCCTTATTAATGGACTGTATTATTTCCCTCAGAGATCCAGGGTCTCCTTGAGATTTTAATATCAAGACTAGCCCCAGTTCCTTGTCTTTAAAGTGTTGCCAATTATCGCCAGGAGGTTGGACGAGTCTCCTTTCCCATCCCTCGGGAAATTGAGGGGAAATCGCGCCCCATTTAATGATCGATTTTTTACCCCGCGACTGATCCCGCGGTATTTATTACGGAAATTTGCATATTCGCGTGAGGGGTAATGATTCCGATATTAATGATATCGGGTTTTCATAAATGTTGCGGTCGATGCATGGGATGGCATAAATCATTTCCGCGGTGGAGTTCCCGCTGGTATTATTTACAGCCGCTGTGACATTTTTTTACTCCTGAAAGCTCTGCTGGATTTTTCCTTTCCTGCCGTTTCGTGGTTTCCGAAAATCTGATTCTTTTTTTTTATTAATTTGACACCTTCTTCTCAGGGATGGGATCAACCTGGCGGTGCTGTCTCTTAAGGAAAATGGAGAACTGGCGAAATTGGTTAATCGATGGTGGTTCGATCGGACGGAGTGTAAGCATCGAGACAAGCAAGACGCCTCCAGGAACGAGTTATCGCTCAGCAACGTTGCTGGGATATTTTACATCCTGATCGGTGGCCTTCTGCTCGCCCTGGCAGTAGCACTTCTCGAATTTTGCTACAAATCGCACACGGAAGCGACCAGGGCGAAGGTGAGGATTTTTTACAACAAAGAGGAGACATAAGCTTAATATGCATAAAAATAGGATGGAGTCTCGGTGAGACGATTTTACTTGAGGCCCATTTTTTGCAGATTCCGTTGTCGGATGCCATGAAGGCGAAAGCCCGACTAACGATCGGTGGTGGTCGAGATTTCGACAACGGACGGGTGAGTAATCGGGCCAGAAAGACTCGGAAAGACTTCTTCGAAAGCTCTTCTCTTTCCGTAACCTCGACTCGGGTACTTTTTTACACTCTTAAATACATCACAGAAGTGTCATGCGTGCACGGTTGACACAGGAACTCGCAACAACTGACACGGTGAATTTACGTCGAAGCCAACATATGAACACTTTGGACGGGGTCGAAAAAATGAAAATTATCAGAAAAAGAAAAAAAAATTAATGGACCCTTTTTGGGATTTTTTACCACGTGGTAAAGGTTTCACTGAACACTTTACTTCTTTTATCCACTCAATCGGAAGGGGAGAATCGGTGAAACACCCCTTAATACTCACCCCCGACTGCATCTACAGACAGCTTGGCATGAACTAGCAGACTTCCACTCGTCCAATGCAATTAAAAAAAAAGAAAGAAAAATATGAAAGACTACTTCCAAAAACGTAGAACAGTGTTTTCGGACACGGAGCGTAGAGTTGAATATCAGAGATGCATGTCCTCTCCGGAGAGCGTACGTAATTTAGCACAAATTAAACGGCGTTACAGTGGAATCTCCGTCGTGGTTGAGAATTAAAATTCCATATTAAATGGGATATATCATTTATTTAACCTCGAAGCAATTGCACGACGACGGTGGTTCTCGTGGGAGTACATATAAATGGGAGCATAAACCGTATCCTAACCGATACCGTGTAAATGAGTTTAGCTAGACGTGTAAACGCTCAATTGTAAGGATCCTGTGCGTATATACAGTTCGCTTGGCATGAAGTTAGCGGCAATCGAGTTAAGTGAGAAAATGGTAATGGCAATCCTCGTATCCACGTCCTTTCCTACCATTTGAGGGAACGGGGTGGAACTGGCTGCGTGTCGCCTAATTATATGAATATCGTTTACGGTTTATTAGGGGTGGACCGGGGCGTAGTAGTGGGTTTCGTTTTTCCACCTTTCCATTTTCTTTCTCTAGTGGTACGGACTGCAGAGTTAGACGGAGGATGCATGCGCCTCTCCCGGGACCATATGTGAGTACTATCCACCCTCTAATTTCGAATCCTTTTTCGAATCGAATTTTATCTCCACCCCTGGCGTCGCTCGTCCCTTCGCTCATTCCCTCCTCATCTCGCTTTACGTGTACTCGTTGGCACGCCAAGTCTGTTTTCTGTGCCTTGAGTTGAGCTTCTTAGTCCGCGATATCGAGAGAGAGCATGGCTTTGCAAAATGTCGCAAGTGCGTTGTAAATGCGTGCCTAAGTACAAACACAGTCAAGCAACCCGCGGCTGATAGTTGGTGCGGCAAAAAATCGAAATAAATCCTTGATACTCCAGAAAATGATAAGAACGAAGGCGCACCTTCTTCAGCCGCAGGTCTGCGAGAATGAAAACCAACCGGAAGTCTTACGACAATCCACACATCTCGATTTCCACGTATGGGAAAATAATTGAAAATTTCGAGTTCATAATGCATCACTCATCAGGTCCATGTTCAAAGATCCAAACGTCATCCGTGTCACTTTCGGATCCTGGTACAGGGTCCTCTCGTTTCTCTGCACACGTAAAGAGTCTTCTCGAGGTAGTTCATAAATCCAGGTGAAGACCGATCGATTTGGTTACTTCCAGTACTACGCTCCAGCAAACGCAATCGGCACTACCGAGGGCGACCAGGTGCACAGCAATACGCATACACAGGTGTAGACTCGGCAGGTACCTCGCCAGGTACTTCCGGCACTTCACCTGCTATGTCGGTACCAACACCTCCTCCGCCGCCGATAGTGGCGCCCCCACCGCCACCCCCAAGGCCACCTCGAAGGAGCGTCACCTTCGCGGATTCGCCCCCGAAGAGTCCGAAACCCCGGAAACGGCTGCACGTCGCGACGTTGGACGTCGCGGTGCCCTGGATGCCAGCAACACCGGGTCACTGGGCGAAATGCAGCCCGTCCAGCCCGAAGCCGGAGTACATCAAGTAGACCGTAAATCCAGGAATTTCGTGAATTCCCGAAGGATTTCGACAAATCCTACACCTCACCATCCTACCAGACCGCGAGGACCAGGTTGTGCGAAGAGGGGAAGAAGAATAGGAGCAAATCCAGCGGCGTCCAAGATGGCCGCCGAGTCGCAGGAATTGGGTCCAGGATCCAAAAAGCTCCGACGTACCGATTTTTCTTGAAAAACCGAAGGATCCTGATCCTTCGACTTCCAATCTCGAGAAGAAATCGATGGAGAGGACCGGATGGCCTCGATTCTCTCGGGGACGCCGTCGAGGCCGCGAGTGGCGGAGCCAAGATGGCCGCCGCGCGTCAGCTGATCGCTCCCACTTCGCGGCGAAAATCGACGCCTGCTCTGGTTCCAACGTCGCTGATCCTTTTTGTACGATGTAAATAATTCACCCTCCGTGGCTCGAGTCGGCCGGAGACCCTTCCGCCCCGGATTCCACGTGCCGATCACCGAAATTATGGGAAAACTAAGTAACGATGGTCCTGGGGTGGGTGCATGTGCAACCAGCAACACGAGATACTCTAACTGCCGTTCCAAGGTGGAGGACTGAGCGCCCTGGGCGCGGATCGATTAACAGGGAGTTTGATTGGGACGCCCGTTAATTGGGCGTCTCGGAGATTCCTTAACGGGCTGCGCCATAAACTAAGCAATCGCGTGCCAAAGAGATGCAACATGGACGCGGCCGTCGTCTCGCAAGGGACTTCCTTATTGTGCAATTGGTGCAAGTGGGAGTTCGCGCCAGCGCGAGTTTTTAACTAATAATCGTAAAACCGAGCGGCGAGAGAATGTTATATATAGATGTTTGTTAAGAGCCACGTGCGTGGACGATGCGACCTGATGTGTGTGTCTGGGAAGGTGTACGTGTTGCGTGCGAGTATGCGTGACTGCCACGAGACTGAGTGAGGTTAGGTTTAATCGAACGATAAACGTTAGGTGTAAACGCGAGGTTAGGTCGTGCTAATCCGATGATGGCCGACTAATTATTAACTGATAATCACGATTCCGGTTTCTTCTTAGCCATTCCCACCGGTTGACGTCGTCATTTAAGGTGTCGACAATAATGGAGGTCGCTGTTATAGAGATCGTTAGGGTTTCTTACGGAGGAATTGTTAGCGCAAAGCGTTTATTTACTTCCCACGCAATGTACAGGGCTGCGATTCGCGGATTTGGATTAGCACGATTTAGCGTTGACTAATAAATATATGGCCAAGAGTCGTGCCAAAGGACGATATTACATGCTGTGTCTAATATTACGAGGAGCCCGAGGACGAGGAGAGATTGAAGAGATCACTATCCCGAACCCGCTACGTTGTATAACGATTTTTAAGAGTGTAGTTATGTATGTGTATGTCCACGTAACATCAGACCAAAATCCAACGCGAGCATGCCTGCTGCAGCGTAAAAAAACGACGCCGTCGCTCAGCCCTGACTAAAAAATCAAAATGGCGAGCGTGGGGCTCTTCGAAAGTTCCCAATGCCCGAAATAATCACGCAAATCAAAAGACCTCAACGGAGGGATTTTTATTATTTTAGAAACGTCGTATAACTTCTCGAGATCTAGACTAAGGGCTGCCGGAAGACGTAAATTCCAAGATGGCGCGGGCAGCAATTCCCAGGACGTCGGGTAAACTTTGTGATTAATTATATAATATAATTGTCGACGCTCGCACTGCCAGTTAGCGGTGCCCGATCACTGACAACGTTGATTTATGTTACTCCCGTTGAAACGATGCTAATAGGAATCGAGGTTAGACCAGGGAAAATTTCTTCACAAGATGGCGACCAGTCAGCTTTTTGCGCCGCAGCGAGAGATCGATCTATCATATCGTCAGTTCTTTTCTTATTACGATTAAAGATACTACTGGTAAATACAATAAATAAGTATTAAATAAATCATTGATATAATAACGACTATGGTGCATAAAGGGGGAGTTTGTGGTGGCCCTCTCGAATTATGGGAGGGCTGACACCTTTCCGCGTGACGAGACTACGTTGATACGATGTTGACCCGGTGTCGATTAACCTACTGTACTATTGTACGATTAAGCGAAATGCGAGGATGAACTGCGATATAAAAGAGGAACCGATTGTCAACCTTATCACCCTTCGACCGAGGAATTAATCACCCTGTCCAGCTTTCGGAAAAGACGCAAGACGAAATGATCTTTTCACGGCGTGCTTCGCCTTCCCTCTGTACCGATGAATTGTTCGTTCTCGACGCTACTCAAACCCTTCACCGACTCTCGATGAATGAACCCCCGCTAAGAAATGTCCCCAATTCTCCGAGAACTCGAAGCATAATTTTTTAAAACGTCCTACCAAGGCGGAATTGATTATATCATTTCTTCGCGACTGGATATACCTGATGAATATTTTCTTAGCCTGGACACCGAGAATTTTACGTTAACGGGATGTTCGATTTCTCGAGAGTGCCAAATTGTCTCGTAGCATGTTAGAAGAAAAATTGCGCTTCGCTTAGTGGCTTCCTTGATTGCGCCTCTAGCTTCGGAAGATCTTCTTTCTGGATGTGAATATTTTTGCAAGTGAAATAATTCAATAAACATTTTCTAGGGGCTCGTAAGAGGCTTCGAGTAATTCACGCCGTCCTGGCTTCGTTAAATGGATTTTAATAAGACCGAGATGTATCGTTTTATCGCGAAGGAAGTCGTGCGATCTTTCCTACCGATTTGCACGTCCTTGCACGTCAGTTCAATTATTTATCATTACTGCGCATTTTCAATTAGTCTCCCGAGCACGTAGATCTAGGAGACGACTAAGTTACGCTTCCGGATCTGTGATATCACGGTCATGATTTCCCTCGATTGACATTCATTTCGTTAACTATTTACCAGCTACGTGTTAATATAAGGAAGTGTCAATTTATTGTACCGCAAGAGATTTTGTAAAAGTCGAATGCCAAACGAATGTTCACGAAACGACACTGCCGTAAAATGTTAACATTCCCAGTCACGGCGATACCATTTCGATAATTAGGGCTCATTAAATACCGCGCGACAAATTATTCACCTCGAGACTCGAAGTCAAAATTCAATTTCGAGCATAGAAAGTAACAATTGCGAAGGAACGAAGAAAAAAAAGAAAAGCAAGAAGAAGTATTCGGAGCAGCGTCTTCCACCGTAGAAGTCGATTCACGTGAAAGCAAAAAGAAAGCCCCCAGAAGCTCTTATCAAAATTGATTCCTCGCATCACCGAATTTCCCCCACACGACGAAGAGGACGACTCATGTAAAACACGTTGTAAACCAATCAAATTTGCATAAATACACGATCGTTTATTTAAATGTAACCGCGTTGGACTCAGCGAAAAAATCCCTGGAGACCCCTGAGAATCCAAAAATCCCAGAAGAGCAGAAAACCAAAGTGAATAAAAATTCCAGCGCGAAGTGATTATTGTTGGATTCCGCATCCAGGTATGACTGGGAGTCTGTAAATTGGCACAATCTGTAAATTGACATTGGACGTACGAATCGGGCCGCATCGGGCAATCGAACATCATGGCTGATCGGTCAGATGATCGATCGCGCCGATGACGATCCCCGACAGGGGGGATGAATAAATTATCGGCAGAACGAACGGAGGAGAATTTTCGCACGGGGTGGGTCATTGAAAGGAAATAAAGAAGGGATAAAAGTGGCATGAAAAGCCGCTTGATTAATGACCACGGTACATGTCGGCCCCCCGGCTCGCGGCCGATATTTCCGCCGGGCCCCTGATAAACTAGCAGCTTTTATCAGCGTTTAATCAATTAACTGTCCAGCCCGGGCAAAGCGAGAGGGCCAGTTCGTCGACCGACACGGTTTCCCCGGAATAAAGCCGGGAAATTGTTTCATGTTCGGCCGTGTTCCCCGAAATTAGTCCGGCGAGCTGCAGGTCGCGACATTACCGGCCGCGTCACCGGGGTATTTTCGCAATTGGTCCGCAGGCCGCATTAACAGAGCGTGAAAATGAAAAATTCCCGGGGGAGGGCGAGACGATTTTTCCCGAAATTCGGTAAAACCTCGGCTGAAGGGATGGGGATTAATCGGGAATAATTCGGCTAGTCCGAACAGTAGATGCGGTGCGGAGGGTGTCGGACGATCGGCCGACAGGACGTAATCCTTTATCCCTGAAAAAAATGGACAGGATGGCTGGCTCGAATTTTCTAGATATGCGTGACCTTCGAAATCCACGGCGGAATCCCGAAAATACGCGTCCTACAAATCCGCGGCTTTTGTGCGAAGACCCCGGAGAAATATCGCCATGTTAAACGGATGTTCGGTCATTCCCTCCGCGTGACAAGGGTGAGGATATTTAATAAAACGCGCATAGTCCTTCCTGTGAAACCTGTCTACTAAGCTGGTTTTCACGAAAGTCGTGCACGTGAAATTTCTTCCGATTTTCCCGGGCCACATTTCCTCCGCGCGGTTTCTGGAGCGCTTCCTTTGAAATCTGAGAAAAAAAAGAGGAAATTATTTCCATGGATTTTCATGGGGATCGGCGCGTGGTCCGCGGTACGTGTTTTTCTGGAAAAAGGAAAACCAGGTCAAGGGCGAGAAACAACAAGGGAATATCCTTAAGGAACCCCCGTTGTCAAGGAGTACGTGGCGGAAAGGAAAACCGGCCAATCAGGGTGAATTCAG